GACCATGTCCGAACTGAGTGTGTTCCTCCTGCAAGATGGGCAGTCCTGAGCACTTTCTCACAGATCTTTATGAATCACTGGTTCAGAAGGTTTTTTCAGTCTTTCCTGATGAGAAAAGGGGCTAGAGATTCAAAACGAAATCATACATCTCATTGTGATGAGTTAGATATCTCTTTCAGCTCCAGCCCTGATCTTAGCTGAGGGGCATGGGTGGAACCCTTAATTTCTTGGCACTTCTTTGTAATGGCACAAGCACTTTGCCTACATCGGGTGTTGTATCAGCTGCCTTCTGAGCAACTGACAAAGCTGCACAGTTCTACACTCAGCAGTATCTTGATTAAAAATTATGATAGAAGCACTTCTGTTGAGCTTAAGTGCTTTATTTCTACCTCCTAAGCCTTTCTTTGGGAAGGTCTGAAAAACTAAGTTGATGTAAATCTATTTTGATAAGCTTAAAGTGTCCGTCTTCTATTTTGGATAGGCATCAAGTGCTCTGGAAAGCATTTATCCTGCTGCTCCTAGTTCTCCATCAGGAATCTGAAATATCACTGTAACCTTCAACTGGAAGCCTTGTTGCATCAGTTGCGGTGCAGTTAAGCACAAAGCACCAGAGTAGCAAAGCGCCTTGCAAAATCTTGTTGCTAATATCTGTGGGATTTTGCTAAATTGATTCTGTGATCTTGTATCTTGGGAGAATAAGCCCCAGTGGTGGTGTTTTGCAAGGCTTTCTCAGTAGCTGCACAGTGCTTTTGAGCCATCTAGACCCAGCGACTAAAAACTAAGACTAAGTGTAGATGCTATTCCTATGGAGATGTGGAGAGGGGTTTTGGCAGGTAGGGATGCAGCCAGCAGTGTTTTCTACATATGAAGCTGGTGATTTTTCTTTTGTTTCAAGTGGAAAAATACCAAAGCTGTGAGATACTGATAACTGAAAATGCTTTTGTTTGTGCTTTTTTTTTTTTTTTTGGTGTGAAGTCTCTTTGTAATCTCTTCACTTGTGTGACTTCCTTCATGCAGTAGTAATGGGAGGATCTCTTTGCAGATGCATCTGTAGCTTTATCTTTTAACATATTGGATTGTAAAGTGAGGTACAACCAATAAAACTGGGAGCACTCATCCTGTAGAGGAGGTTTTCAATTTGAGTGATCTGGGGAACCTTTCTGGGCACACCAGTTCTGCCTTGTGCAGTGCAGCATTTGCATTGCCCTCTTGTGGCAGATGCCCCAGTGCAGCTGGTTTGGGATTAAAGAATTTTGCAGCTTCTAATTCAGCAGCATCTCCAATGAAACTGTGGCTTTGCTTGTCCAGAAGTGTGAGTTAGCATGAAAACCTGAAAGCAGAGCTGATGGGATGTAGGAAGTGAAACTGATAGCTCAAGATACGTTATTGAAATGATGTTCCAAAAGACGTAATCTAGGATATAATTGTATCTCTGTAATTATTTGCAGTTAAACTTGCCTGAAGGTTATTAATGATTCCAGAAACTTGGGGGGGGGGAAACAAAATAGAGAACAAAGGCTTAAGAACTCGATAATCTGTGTGTTCAGCTCTGCATGCTTGCCTTTTCCAACCAGCTAGCACTCTTGCTTTGCCAGGCATCATTGTTGGGACTGGATTCTGCAGTCATTTCAAACAACCCTACACCAAAACCAGAATATGGCCTAAATTCTGGGCCACCAACGTAGGCAAGAATCTATTTCTGAATTAAACAGTTGTCCTTCTTTCTGTATGGCGAGGGGAGGCTGTGTGTGTTCAGATACATGCCCATCAGCAGAGTCCCCTGGAGGGTGATGCCTTGCAGCTGTGCCCACCACCCTTGATGTCTTTGTTCTCACCAGTGCTCACCGGCCTCAACCTTGCTGGGCCAAAACAGTTTTATTGCAGCAGGAGCTGCTGCACGGGTGGATTCCAGCATGCACTTTCCTGGGCCTGCTGCTCCTCTAATTGTTGTGTTGTCAGGAGGCGTGTGCCTCCAAAAGCCTTATCTGATTCCTCCAGAGGCCTTGCAAGCAATTCAGATGTTGACCCCTCGAGCGCACGCAGCTCAGACCGCCCGCTTCGGGTGAGGTTTAACTCAAAGCCAGCAAGCTTGCTTTGTCACCGGGGCAGGAGCACCTGTCTGGGGAGGGGACAAGGGGCCGGGGAAGGTGAAAAGCTGGTGGGACTCATAGGGGAGAAGGGAAGGCCAACAGCTGAGTGTGTCAGCGCTGGGATAAATGCGAGGAGATTAATAGTTATTTAAAGAGCAAATGGGGACATGGCATTTGGCTGTGGCATGTGAGCATATAAATGGTGGAATGGCTGCTCTGCTGATAACATTTAGACAGATGGTTCCTGGACTGAGTGGAATGAAAAGGATCTCTGATTCTCATAAGGATATCTTAAATTTTAATGGGGCACTTATTTTTTTTCTTAATTGATGTCCAGGCAGCACCCTCAGCATTTCCTGATGGTGCTGTCTTGTTAACATCAGCTGGCTGTTTGGTCGTCCTTCCCCACAGTTTTGAGTAGCCTGGGATTGGAAGGAACAGCCTAAGTGAAAGCAAAAGCACTATTGTTTTTGCTGTCTGTCTGTCTGAGCTGCTGTAGGAGACTGTTTTCATCACAGTTGCCTTTTCATCATTTGACTGGTTAGGGAGTGTGTCTGATGCTAATCTCCATGAGAAATAAAACAACTGAGCAGTATTCTTGCTGTTGTTTTTTTCTTTTTTTTTTTTTTTTGAGGAGTCTTTAGGTATTGTTAGGATCAGGGGTGTGGGACTAATTTAGGTTAAACGATCCCAAAATCTGTTTTGTTGTTTATTTGTATGATGCAGAAGAAAGATGGAGGGGTTGGGTTTCTTGTGTATATATATATTTTTTAACTGAATGCAAAAACATCAACCAACAAAAAGAATGATCCTGGCCCTGTATATCAGCATCTGGCTCCTGCAAAAGCACAGTTAGTCTGTTAAATAGGTCTTGGTTGTTGGATTGCCTGCACAGGTGAGATGTAACGGTCATCTGCATTGCTGAAGCTGCAATCTCTCCTTTGAGAAGAAGATCCAGTCTGGGTTGTTGCTTCCTGTGACAGCTACTTAGCATGCTTTGAGTCCAGTTGTGGGCTCACCCATCTAACAGAAGTCTGGGTCAGCCACTGTCTTCTCTACCGCTGTAGATGGGGAAACTGAGGCAGCGAGGGTAAATTACTAACCTGAGGCAACACAGTCGCTGCTTCACCCAGGATTAGGGCTCAATATGTAATTGCTTTTATTACTCTGCTGCCTGAAGGCCTTAGTCAAAGTGGAGGCCCATTAAGTGGAGTGCTTCTTACATAGTGAGGAGCAATCCTTGCCCTGCAGACCTTGCAGCCTGAAGTAGGCCATGGGTGGAGGGGGAGGCAAAGCGACTTGTCTAAGGACACTGTGTGCTGCTGGCAGGGCAAGGGAGAGATCCAGCCATCCTTCCTTTGTTTGGTCTCCTTGCAGACCATCCCATAATGAGTTCCCTGTGTTGTTCCCTACCAGATCTTTTCCTTCTCAGTGCAGCTCATAGTAGCAAGCTGTACACATTGTGGTAGGTCCTGTGTGCCTTGCTGAAGACCCAAGAACACCAGTCTCACCTTAGGCTTTTAATTAAAGGCTCAATGGTATAGCAGTCTTTTCCAGTGATATTGAGTAAGGAAGAGTTCTGTCGTGACTTAATTTCCTTTACCACCTCCTGTTGGAAGGACAACTGAAAGTCCACAGTTCCTGGGCACAGGGAGGGCACTAATCCTTGGAAGGGAGCCTGTCTGTTCCTCCATGATTGAAATGACTGGAGAAACAGGAGGTTATGTGCCTTGTCCATAGTCTATGGGAGTTCAGTAGGTAGCCTGCATCATTCCCTTACACATCATGATGAGCAGCAATGTGGTGCTTAAAGCTGTGGGTGTGAACTGAAATCATGCTTGTGATACTTTCTTGTCCTTGGGTTTCACAATCTTACAATTGAAGTTCAAGAAAACTTCTTTTTTCTTTTCTTTCAAGGAATTTATCCACTTTTATCATACTTTGTTTCACTTCTCCCTCCTTTGTCAGAAGGATCCTGATTTACTGAACTGTTAGATTACAGGAGAGCACTGAGTGGGTTTGCTCATTCTTGTTGTCTTTCTGAATATTTTTTTTTCCCGTCTCAACTCTTTGAGGTGGGAAACAAGGGCTGTATATAGTTTTTAGGGTATGTGACTTCTCTGCTAAACTCTCTCTGATCTAACCTCTGTATTTCTGTACTTTGTCCTGTAGCCTTCTTTTTTGATGTCTGAAGTTGTTTTATTTGTCATTGGAGGATACTTTCGGGGCACAACAGTGTCTGCTTAAGTGCTGTGTGGGGTGCAGCTGCTGATGCTGTAGGCACGCAGGGAAATGTTGCATGCAGTGAGCTGCTCCTGCTTGATATGATACCTTCAGTTCCTCAGTGCTGCTGTCTGACTGCTTGCTGGTTACAAGCATGGTTTGAAGGCTGTGCATCTTTGCCAATGACGTGGCAATGCAGTTACCACTTGATATAGGCCTCCAAAATGTCAACAGGTGATGGGGTCTGATCTACAAGGAGTAGTCTTTAGGTAGAACGCAAGAACATGAGACAGTGTAGCCTTGTACATGATACAGCTGGTTTCACTGTAACAAAAATGGTCACTTGTATCAGGTACTAGCCTTCCCTCCATGATGTCTGGGGTTGGGTGTTGCTAGATGATCGCCCATGATCCTGCTTCCCTGTGATGGCTTGCGGCCTTGTGAATCACCTCTTTATTGTCTGCATGGTGTCTTTTTCCAGCTCTGTTCAACACTGTTGATCTACTGTGTGTCTGCATGAAGCTTTACCTCTTTGTTTTTCAGTCACTGATAGAAAATGATGCATCTTCTCTGCAAATATCCTTCCTTATTGAAGGACACGCATAGGGTGGTGCTGAGATCGTGATGGCCATGCTGCGCCAAGCTGGTCCTTGCTAACATTCCTTCTGTGCATTTCTTTGCCTCTAGCCGCAGTACACGAACCTGGGGCTCCTAAACAGCATGGACCAGCAGATTCAGAATGGCTCTTCCTCTACCAGCCCCTACAACACGGAGCACGCGCAGAACAGCGTCACGGCCCCTTCGCCTTACGCCCAGCCCAGCTCCACTTTTGATGCCCTCTCGCCCTCCCCAGCCATCCCTTCCAACACAGACTACCCGGGACCTCACAGCTTCGATGTATCATTTCAACAGTCCAGCACAGCAAAGTCTGCAACGTGGACGGTAAGGATGCGGCACAGCCTTGCTCCTTGGTTGGAGTCCTGTGGCCCATAGTGACACTTCTGTTCTGATACATATCCAGGCTTGTGCAAGAACAGAGTGACCTGTGTCCTCTTAAGTGCACGACATGTCACACAGAAGGGAGAGATTTATCTTGGCTGCTCTGGGAGGGTGTGGTGGGAATTGAACCCTCAGTAATATTACTAAATCCCAGGTGAATAAAATGCCTTGCAAAAAGACAGTCACTTAAAGACTGTGTGATGAAATAGTGGCTCTCTTATTTAAGTGTAACATATTGAAGTTAAAACCTGGGATGGGCATAAGGATGGCTTCAGCATTTCCCATGGCATCCTTCATCCATGGGTATGTATTAGGTTCAATGTACAGGACTGTGCCAGCAGGACAGAGGTACAGTATAGAGGTGGTTTGCCCTGATATTTTTCTAAACTAAAAAATTTTCCATAGCTGTGTGTCCCAGTGTGGTTTAGGGCTCTAGAGTAGAGATTCTTTAAGATAGCAATTTTCTCCACTGCTAAGATGTTTAGTATTTGTCTTCCACTACTTCAAGCACTCCAAATCAGTGCAGTGAATAATCCCTTGTGGATTTTTCTCTGTGTGGTGAGTGAGGAGAATTAGGTAAAGTAAATCTTAGTCCTCCGAAAAACACTGGAGTTAAATGCCTAAATCAGGTATTACCAGTAACCCCTGCTGTGCTTGGTAATTAAATAAACCAGATTTGAATCCCCAGAGAAGGGAACTGATTTATTTTTATTTTCTTTTTTTTTTTTTCCCTTTAGATGTATGTATTGATTTTTCTAGCAGCAGGTCAAATCTCAGCTTTCATCATATTATGATTTGTCTTACTTTTCTTCACTCAGAGCTGTTTTGAGTATTTTACTTTATGGTGACTTTATTTAATGATATCAGATTATCCAACACTTGTTTTCCATCTTTAAGACTACGCAAACAAAAGCAGTGAGTTGCAGTGATTTTTAATTTAAAGTGCTTTTCTGTGCTTCATTTTTGGTTTAAAAAAAAAACAAAACAACTTTGCTTTTCTTCATTTCCATATTTAGTCCAAGGAACTCCTTTAGTCTCAAAGTAAATACAATCTAGAAATTGCAACTGGCCACTGCTGGTAGAGAAACACTGTAACCCACATGCTTCTGATTGGACAGATGGAAAGAGATGTTGTGTAATAATAACTCAGTATAAAACTGCATCTTTCATATGTAAAAGTTCTTTTTAAGTAAGCTGTTGTCTAAAACTGGTAACAGTAACTTTGTTTAAAGGGTATGTTTCACAGAGTTAAAATGTTTTGTCTGGTCAAGGGCAATTGATTTATTTCTTTATGGATGAATATGTGGAAATCTAAATGAGGTTGAAATGCATCTTTTCTTTATCTATGCTGGCTGTGATGTCTTGTTGTAGTTCATGTTTTTCATGTCCAGGTTTCTCCACTTGCACTACACTATTTATTTTCATTCCCCTTTTAAGTAAGGAAATTGTCAGGTCTACTTTCTATTTCTCAGGGCAAGAAAATGCTGCCCTTGGATTTTTGCAGGCTGCTGTGGAGAGGGTCCTTTGAGAGAGATATGAAAAGACATTCTCTTTTGATAAACATAGTACAAAGAATTATCTAACGCAGCTGCAGGGAACAGGAGCGTTTGATGCTATCCTTTCAACTAAGAAAAGTGGTCTTTTGAAATGAGTTTTGAACGTCAGTGGTAGGCTGTTCCAGCAGAGCTGAAGACAAGCCGCTCACAAGCGTGAAGTTGAGCAAGCACTTGAGGGGCTTCACTGCAATGACAGCAGCTCTTGGGGGGTAGAAGTGAGGCTGAGATTTAACATGGATCTGGGTGGTAGTCAGATCGTACTGCATGGTGGTCGCTTTTTTTCTTTCCTTGGAGGCAGGCACATTTAGCCTCTCCATTTTCTTTATCCATGATGTGAACCATGCTACAGACAGGTGATGTGTTGCCTGTAGCTGTTGCTGTCTGTGGCACAGGAACAAGCCTGTGTGTTTTAGTCAAGGAGCAACCTCCTAAACAGCTGTTTGTGGAGGAGTGTCCTGGTGTCCCTGTGCTGAGCCTAGAGCTGCTTGTGAAGGAGCTCTGTGTATACAGTGGCTGATGACAGTCTTGTGGTGGCTGCCGGGGACCTTCAATCAATGTTTCACACTTGAGCATCTTTCCATCTTCAGAGCTCTGCCCTTCTGCTAATTAATCCACCAACTCATTTCACATGGGCTGTTGAGCAGTTGGTAATGTGTTCGACAGCTTTATCAGCGGGGTGGGTGTGGAGGGACTTGGAGGTTCTCTCCTGCTGCCGTCCTGAGAAATGTGGAAACACGTGTGAAACGTTGATGAAAGAAGGATTACCCCATCCTCACAGCAGGAGCAAGTTCTCTGAGTTGCTCGCTAAACCCCCCCCCAATGTGACTTCATGTGCTTTGATTAATGCCTGTCGTCATCTTTTTTTTTTAATGATGGATTAGGAACCTACCCAACTGGAAGAGTTTCTTCCACAGCAGTGACCTATTAAATGTTTAATTACTAGATGGCCCCACCCTTATTAAGAGTCCAAAACTTGAAAGCCTTGTTTCTTAGGGTTTTTTCCTCTTGTGTTCCCCGGGTGACAGTGTTAAGGAAACTTGCTTTCCTCAGTTTGGGAGTGGATGAGTGAGGCTGACCCACCTTGCCCTGCTAGGAGGGCTCGGTAGGGGCAGGCAGTGAATCTTGAGTCCTGGCTGACAGCATGCTTTGCTGTAGCTCATCTGAGTTTGTTTGGGGCTGAGTTGTGTTAGATTAGGTCATGGGAGAGCAAAGGCTTGGGGCCTGGAGAGAAGACTTTAGTTATCTCCTCTGAAAAAGCAAAGGTGCTTTGGGAGGGTTAGAAATCTGTGAAAATGCTTCAGGCTTTTTGATGCTCAGTTTCTGAGGGAAAAATAATCTGAAATCAGATGTAGATACTGGGGGTAATTCTGAAAGTGGGAGAAAGGAAAAAATGAAGCTAGCTGAGTAGCTAGAAGCTAAGTCTGCAAACAGCCTCAAATTCTACTTGTACCCCTCCAAGCCTGTTTTGTAGTATGATGATGTTTTCTTTGGGGCAGGTTTATTTACGCAGGGCAGAGGACAACCTGTGCTGAATCAGTGCTGTTCATATAGGATAAGCTGGGGAAGAGATGAATGTAACACTGGGAGGGCTGCTTCTCTGCTCAGGTTTGTGATGGGCTCCTCACTCAAGGGGAAAAGGAGCTGGCCAAAAACTGCAGAGAAGCACCAGTTGCTGCTAGGTGAGAGTGATTTCATATGCATGAGCAGTTCGCTTTGAAAATATTGCAGATTTTCTCTGTGAAGTCTTTCATGACCTTAAGTAGGAATTCCAGTAAAACATGCTGTCTAATCAGGTTAGCTGTTCATTTGTATGCAATGTTGAACTAATTAATGATGACAAATTGAGATTGGATTGCGGAGGACTTTATAAGCATCCTTGATTATTTTTTTTTAATTAATGACCTGAGAACACAAGAGTATAAGCAAGTTAATCAGTCTTTTCAGAAGGAAAATCTTTAACGATTGCCACTCTCTTTCAGTCTTTAAAAACAAAAGCCTTGGTAGTCTAAACTGAACAGAGCTTCTCACATGCATACAGGGGTTGGGGGAGCTCATGCTGCAGTATAAGCTCGCTGAAAGCCAGTGGATCAAGCAGTCATTGCTTGGTAGGCAGAAGGTCGTTAAGTCTGAGAGAGAAGCCCTATGAATTTGGTGAAATTAGGTGAAGCTTATCCAGAACTGTGCGTCACTTATTGTGGGATACTTCCTCTGTGAGAATTCTCATATACCTTGTGAGATCTCCTCCCATTCCTGCAGCAGAAGCAAACAAGGCATTTCAAAAGCATGCCACCTCAGACTTTTTTTTTTTTTCCCCTTTCTGGAAGTAACTTTGTGTGCAGATGTTCCCACCCACTCCAAGTGCAAGTAAATAAATAACTGCCCTGGCTTTTCCCACTAAAAAAAGATTTGGCAATCACCTGTTGCTAGCGCAGAGCTTGCTACATGACTGCTTGCCTGGAGAAGAACATGGTTGCAGTGGGGAAGATTAAAAAAAATAAAAATAATTTAAAGAAATAATTATGTCGAGGTTAGTAGAAGTTAACATTGCTGCCAAGCTCAAGCTATCAAGAAACAAATCAGATCCTCCTATCCCCATAAGCAAGATACCACCTTATAAGTCATGAGACTTTATTAAAGACAAACAGGTTCTTCGGATGTTCCCCCAGGTTTTTGAGCCTTTAGGGTGCATCTATTAAATCTTTTAAAGCATTTCTGGGTAGTCACGAGAGTAAAGGAAAAAGAAGGCAAAAGTAGCCTTAAGTTTTTGCATGAAAACCAAAATTTGTTTGTGTATTTTTTGATTTTGCTGAAGAAAGACAGCCCTGCAAGACTTGCATAATGGGAGTGTTGGCAATAGCTGAGCATAGCAGTTTTTTCTCATGCCCTGCAGTAGGTTGGAGCTGAGCAGGGTTGGTCCTTGCAGATCTTTGTTATGAAACACAGAGCACCATGAAGTTGCAATCCGTGTTCCAGTCAGGCACTTTGGTTCTCCTGTGCTCAGTAAACTTGATTGTACCTCAAGTTCTATTAAAGCATTTTGATTTCAGACTCTTAGCTGCCAAGGCTAGGTGACAACCTGTGCAACGTGCAAGAAAGCAAGTAAATGCATTGTGCAGTCTGGGGTTAGTAGATTTGGAAGGGTTTTAATCTTAAGGCGAAAGGAATGTGCTTAAATTAGTCTCTGCTAGGAGTAACAGGTTTCTGTGGTTGAGTACAGATTCCTTGGCTGGTCTATCTCAGTCTTCTTACTTCAATTTGATTAATTCCACTTTTGCTTTAAAAAAATTTTGTCTTGAATCATGTGGTATAAAATGGGAAACTTCATTTCCCACGTGTAAAATGAATTGGAAGATGATGTCTGTGGGGATAGCATAGCAGTGAGATGGC